GGTAATTGGTGGTGATTTCAATTGTATTCTCAGTAAATAAGACAAAATGGGTGGAAAAAGATTCTCCTATTCTTTGGGAACTATTTCTAACTAGCAATGACCTACATGAAGTGGGTTGTGTTGGACCCAAGTTCACTTGGTGTAACAACAAAATAGGAGTTGATATGATACTTGAAAGACTGGATAGGTGTTGCCTTAACTCAACAGCATTATGCACTCCTCACCAAATTATGGTAAAGCATTTGGCCAGGATTGCTTTAGACCATTGTCCTATCCTTCTAAACCTTTTTGAATATAAATCTGAATTCAAAAAGATAATCACATTTGAAGATATATGGATCTCCAATCCAGCATCAACATCTTTAGTGAAGAATATTTGGAAGAAGAAAGCTTCGGGTGACTGTAGGAAAATTTTAAATCTGAAAATGAAAAGAACACTGAAGGCATTGTTCCATTGGAACAAGGAAAAACACATAAATCTGGTTCAAGCTAAAGAAGACGTTCTAAAAGAAATCTTGGAACTTCAGGATAAGGAATGCAATGAATGAACTCTATCATATGAAGAAAAATGGATTCTAAAAGTGAAGATAGCTGAATTCAATTCGAATTTAGCTCGAATCAGTACGTGGTGGAGACAACGAGCAAAAATATAATGAGCTTCTGAAGGGGATTGCAACACAAAATTCTTTCATACTTATGCAAGTGCAAGAAGGAATTCTAACTTTATTGGCTCAATCATCAATAATGATGGGTTGTTGGTTGAAGATGAACATCAAATTGAAGACTCTTTAGTAAGCTTCTTTGAGAACAAATGGAAAGACAGGATTTGTAAACTGGATGGCTAGCCCGAGCCTATCAATTGGCTGAATGATGAGGAGATCTACCGCTTAAATAATGAATTCAATATTGAAGAAGTGGAAATTGTTTTTAAGCAAGCTGGGAACTTTACTGCTCTAGGGATTGATGGAATGACATACTCTTTCTTTAAGGGGTATTGGGACATTATCAAGGAAGACTTATGGAATTCACTGAATTAGTTTTTAAATCTAGAATCATGAACTCGAAGTGGAAAGAAAAAATAGTTGTGCTAATCCCCAAGGTATAAAATCCCAAAACTCCGTCTAACTTCAGACCTATAAGTTTTTGTAATGTGGTTTATAAGGTGGCCGCAAAGATAATTGTTAATAGATTAACATCTATAATGCCTAAAATTATCACTGAAGAACAAATAGCTTTTTTGAAAGGAAGATCCATGTCAGACCATATCTTGGTAGCACATGAAATTTTTCATACATTTAGGTTCTCAAAAGCTTCCAAAGGATTAGTTTCATTCAAATTTGATTTGGAGCAAGCATTTGATTCAATGGGATGGACTGCTTTGAAAAAGGCCTTAGAATATTTTGGATTTCCTTATACCATTTCCAAACTGATTTTGGAATGTGTAAGGAATCCAAATTTTTTCGTGGTTGTTAATGGAAACTACTCAAAATCGATTGAGGCCAAATGCGAATTCAGTCAAGGGTGTCCCCTATCTCCTTTTATGTTTATCTTATGTGCCCAACTTCTATCCAATGCTTTCAAACAAAGTGGAGTAGAGTTTGGTGTTCAACTAAGTAGAGACAACCCAAAGATATCCCACTTGTTATACGCATATGGCATCATAGTGTTCTCAGAAGCTAAGGTATTCATGATAAAGAATATTAAATATATCATGGAGGAATTTTGTTCTTGGACTGGACAGAAAATAAATGCCAATAAATCATGTATCTTGTTTGGGAAAAAGACAAGAAGGAGAAATAAAAAAGTGATCTCTCGTATTATGGGTTTGAAAGGAGTCAATGAATTCAATTACATTGGATCCAAAATAGCTCTAAGAAGACTTACTGGAGAAGATTTTCAATGTATTATTGAAAAATCTCTAAAAATGACTAACATTTGGGGATCCAAATTAATCTAATGGGTTGGGAGAATCAACTTGGTGAAGTCGGTATTGCTATCCTATACGACCTTTCAATGTACTCGTTCTATGGTTCCTAAAAGTGTTCTTGGAGATTTAGATAAAATTTGTAGAAACTTTATTTGGAACAAATCTAATGGGGATTTTGGTATTCACTATGTGAATTGGAAGACCATGTGCGTACCTGTTGAGCAGGGCGGGAGAGTACTTCACTATTGCTTTGAAAAATTTAGGCCACTCAGAGCTAAACTAGCTTGGAGTTATAATCAAGAGGAAGACTCTCTGTTACATAAGGTCTTGTTCCCAAAATTCGGCCAGCTATATGGAAACAGCTTCTCCAAAAAAATGGATCGATAGCTTGGAAAATAATTAAAGATGGAGGGGCTTTTCTAAAACCAATTTTCAGATGGGAGGTTGCAAATGGTAATTTAATTAATGCAAATAAAGACATTTGGATATTGGATAAAAGCATCAACAATTGGCCTACATTTGTAAACCCTCAGCATATAGATCAAATCATGGTGGACATATACATTGCAAGAGGAACCTAGAACATTGATGAACTTAGAAAGGACTTTGGGAAAGAATTAGTGGAATTGATTTGTCAAACTGCCATCTATTCAGATCTTCCCACTGATAGTATGGAATTATTATCCAAATACTCAGGAAAATCAATTTCAAAGCTGGCATTTGAAGCTGCAGTTCATAAATCAAACCAGGTTAACTATTGGAAATGGATAAAAAAGGCAAAGCTTCTCCCTCGGGTTAAAGGTTTTTGGTGGAGACTATTCAACAAAGCTATCCCAACGTTTGATTTCCTTTGTTATAGAAGATTGCAAATGCACAATGGTTGTCCAAGGAATTGTAATATGCAAGAAGACGTGGATCATGTGGTAATAAAATGCAAAAAGCTGGAATGTATTTTTCATCAGCTAAAAAAGTGGGGTTTTGAATTTCCCATATTCAGTTAAATGGAAGATTGCATGAATTGGATCTCTCTACATAATTATTGGATGATCAACTTGTTTTGCAATGTAATATATTTTTCATGGAAGGGAAGAAACAAGCTAGTCCATGAAGGAATAAATGATTCTCCACTAGTCATTTCTTTCGAAGCTCTTAGCTATGCTTCAATTTCATCAAACAATTCTTGCAATAAATCGAGTATATGGGTTGCTAATCAGCATCAAATGTTGTTGGACAATCATTGGCATTCCCCTCCACTCGACTGGATAAAGGTAAATGTTGATGCATCATTACTTAATTCCTACAAAGGAGGATATGGTGGTGTATTCCGGGACCATAATGGTAGATTCCTATTGGCTTTTGGGCAATCTTGTGTGCATTGGGATATCTCTAGACTTAAACTACTTTCCATTCTATCAATCAAAGGTGTAGTCAAAGATTGGATGCTCAACTAAAAGGGGATTATAGTCGAAAGCGATAATTTCAACATCATTAAGCTCTTTCAGACGGTATTCTACAAAGGTAAAAATGATTTGGAATCTCCTTTCGAAGATTTTCATAATGTCATTTTCATTGGTATTGATAGGAAATGCAATAAATTAGCGGATTTATGTGCTAATTATGCAATTTTTAGATCTTTCATTTGGAAAGACTTAGTGCTTAATAAGGTTTCTCCTTCCTTTATCTCCATGTTAAAGGAGGAATCTAATGGTATTGGCTAGTTCTTGTTTTAGTTCTTATTAATAAAATCAATACAATCCGTTGCATTTTACTCAAAAAAAGAAAAAAAAAAACCAGCATCTTTGGAGTACCGCAAAAAGCTGATTAAGGTAATGCTTGCTTGTAGTGTTTCAATTTTCATACAAATTGAACTATTTATAATTCTCTTTAATATAAATTGTTTTATATTTCAATTATTAAATTCTATCGATTAAATTTTCTACTCATAATGTCGACCAAAAGTTATTTTTCAAGATTAAACTAGCTCAACGGCTCAATCATGATTTTACATTGGTTAAAAACTAAAAAAAAAAATCAATTTGTACTCGACATAATAAGATGTTAAAGATTATAAGCCGAATATGTGAGGCAACAGCATCACCATAAAGTTTCAGGTCCTTCACTCTTCCTTAAACTTATTCTCAATTATGGGCTACAAATTGACAAGATATTATTTTTCAAGATTAAATTTGATCAACCGCTCCATCTTGATTTCGTAATTTCAAAGAAAAAAATTTTCTTCAAGTATAGTAAATTGTCAAAGATCATAAGCTGATAATGATGCAATAGCATCACCATTAAGCTTCAGGTTCTCCTGTCTTCTCAAACTGCATTCTCACTCACGAGTAACATATTGAACTCGTACTAAGACACCAGCCAACAATGACAACCACAATCACAATAACAACAAGTCTTTTATCTCACTATGTGGGATAAACTACATGAATCCTTCGCTACATGGACTAAGGCACCAGACAACAAAAATAAAATTTTCATATTAAGTGCAAGCCACAATGTTCGAAGCAAACAAATGCCCAAAAAAATAAAATAAAATCACTGATTGAATTTTACTAAGGCCTCGTTTGGTACAACTTTCATAATATTTTCTAAAATAATTTTCTACTACAAAAATTTTTGAATTTACTAAAAAATTGTTTTAAAAATAAACAAAAATACTGTCTAAAACGAAGCCTAAGCCTAAAGCAACCCAGAATAGTATTTAAGTCGCCCCAAACCCAATTTTTAAACCAGGTTTATGTTGACAACTCTAAAAGCAGGATACATTTAAAAAGAGTATTAACCACCACAGTCCAGTATATTTTCGGTTTATTTTTATGCAACAAGCATTACAATTTATATGGCTCTTCACTTTCTTGTATATTGTGCTTTAAATATGAGGTATCTGAAACATTTTTCCAGATAAGAATCCGTCCTTTTATAAATGGTCTTTACTATTGATGCAATCTTAACAGCAGCTATAAACATACATGGGAAGAATGTTATCCGAAGGTTAAATATCAGCTAAAATAGTATTACGTGTCCAAAAGATTTATCACAAGTAAAATACAACCAAAGCTTCAATAAGATAAATAGATTAAAATAAGTCGAACCTGCTATCAACAAGGCTTTCTGCCAGCTTAGTCAGAAGTGTCCTTCAGCTCCGGAAATTAAAAAAATCAGATAAAACAATACTTTCGAAACAGAAAACCAAAGGACATCTACTGATCCATGGCGAAAATCTTACCATCAAGAAACAACATCCCAACTAGAAATCCTGCAGCAATTAACTGCTTTGCTTCAAACAAATGAAAAACCTACAAGATTGGACCCAATGAACAGCATTAGCACATAATACTGTTATTCAAACTAATACCTATGCATAAACAAAGACCAAACAGAGAGACTTCGAACACATTAGTTTACAAAACCACCAAAAGAAAAAAAGAGTTTGTCCCTCAGAACCCCATTAGTAGACCTTACAACCTACAGTAATTTGGTCAGCTACAGTATGATTTGTACCAAGTTAATATTCAAGAAAGCTCCTTCTAAAAGATTTGACTTTACACGGCCTAGCATGGATCAGGTTACCTATCAGTGCCACCAGGTGCACATCACCAGTAGAATGCTGTAGATACTAAAATCAACTTCGTATAGCTACTGCTTTCTACAATCATCGGAGGTTCTTAAGCTAGCAAGCAAACCATCCCGTCCTAACATGATAAGCTCGAAGAAGTCATTCAACTTCTTTCCAAGAAGCTCCAACTCATTGGCAAGATACAAAGCTCCTTTATTCAGCACAGAAATTTGTTTCCCATATCTCCTTCTCGCTTCATCCACATTATTATCTCTGGCTACTTCCTTTTCGTCATCCTTCTGAATAATGATAACCATCATACCATGAAGTTGCTTGGAACATGCATCAACTTCACCCAGCTCCTTCAATATTAGAAGCTTGTCCAAAAACAGTCTACTTCTCAGCTCGTTGTAAACAATGGTTTGCAGATCATTGAAAGCGTCAGCCCATAGAAAATCATTGGGAACTTGCATGTCTATCAATGGCTTTGAGCAGCCTGAAAATACTGCTACGAGGACACTAGAGATGAACATCATCTCAACCTTGACTGCATATAATGCTCTCGTCAAGACCTTTCCCTTGGGTGAATTTTTAACCTTTGGCAAAGAGAGTGCTCCCACCATTCCCAGCAAGATAAATGGAGCATTTTCAAGTTTTGAATTCCTGAAGTGAAGCTTCTGTGTCCAGTCATGAAGAGCTTCGTCAGCTCGCTGTAGCTGCTCCAATCTGGAAACGTCAGAAATCTGCAGAGCATATCGAAGAAGGATCTGGTGTTGCTCTAATCTGGAAACCTCAGAAATCAATGCGATACAAACATCAAGTAACTTCAAGCTGTCATCCAAATATAACTCAATCCACTTCTCATCCCAGACCGAGGCAGGGAACTCCAGATCAAATATGAGAGCCTTGAGCTTATTGTGGCTCTCAAGTAATGCATCAACTGCTTGTCTCAACCATAACAAACTAGGAATATTTGTGGCATCATTGGGCTTGAGCTTTCTAATGTTTTCTGCCAAACTTTGCTCAAAAGAACTCAGTAGAGTCAGTAGCTTTGGCGAACGGTTTTGTCCCTTGGAAAAGATCAGCTTGAATGGATTTCCAAAAGGAGAAGAAGCATGATGCCCATCATGAGTCCGGCTCATTTTGAATGTGATGCTGACATGAGAGAAAAGCTTACCATTACCACAATCATATAGGTGCAAATTGAGCGCATAAAAAGAGAATACAAACAAGAAAGCGGACTTTAAAAAGATTGTAATTCAACAACTAATAATGTGCCCAAGGCCCCAAGCTATAATGTTACCCATCCTTCATGCGTCTGATGGGCAGAAGAGAGAAAAGCAGAGAAGTTGGACTGGATTACCCCAACTATAGTTAGGATCTCCATTAGAAGGAAGGTCATAATGACAATTGCAATTAGTTATCAAATCATCACTAGCCTTTAGCCCAAGTAACTGGGTCAACAATATCTAAGATCATTATTCTCCATGTATTTATTTTTTGATGTTACAATTAGTTATGCATGTCAGCTTTCATATAATCTAGCCGAAGTTGTTTTGGCCAACCCATTTCCTTTCTCATTCTTTTCTCATTACTTTTATCTCTATATCTCGTTCATGCATATTTTGCGCTACCAAAACATACTTTGTTCTATAATTTGGTCTTCAATAAATGCTACTACAACAATATCTATTAGATTCATTCTACAATTATCATTTCTAATTTGAGCACACATCCATCTTAGCATTACCATTCCTACGGTAATTAAGTTAGTTTCATTGTACATGAATCATGATTTCTTTGCTTCCCAAAACTAAGTTCTGATCTTATTCCTTCTATATAAATTTTACCTGGATGACTCCAATTACTATTATAACACTCGTATATACTAACCATGAACTAGAAGATAACATGGTGAAAACATGAAGTCCTCTACAATAATTATTCACAAATCTTCTAATCAGAAGAACTACCTTATTTAAGTGAGTTACCACAAGGGACGAAGTCCACATCAAACCTACATAAACGCAACAATAGATCTAGAGCCAAAGCCATAACATGATAACCATATCTAAATAACATGCAAAAAAAAAAAAAAAGGAAATCATAACATAAAGAAACATATCACTAAGAAATAAAGTTACTACTTTTAATCATTTCTAGTATTTATTATCAGTATTAATCATTTATCATGAGCTAACATATTTCATGCAAATAGCACGTCACACAAAACAAATATGCATCTAGTGTAAATTAGGAAATTTAATTCTACGATCTTGAGATAGAACATTGAACCCAACCAAGCCTATAACTGAGAGAAAAAAATTAAATGATCTTATCACAACATTTAACAAGACATTCAACTCTTTTATTAGGCATGAAGGGATATTCATTAACCATGTTAATTGAACATCCAATTTGCATAACATCCACCACAACATTGCCAGTTAACTTCCAAGTTTAAGAGATGGCAAAATAGACTAAGGCATTAAGCAGACTTAGGCTTCATTTGGGACGAATTTTTTATTGTTTCTTAAAATAATTTTCTAGTTTAAAAATTAAAATTTTATACTAGAAAGTTGTTTTAAGAAGCAACAAGAAAGCCATCCCGAACGAAGCTTTAGAAGCTTCAAAAACTATTGTCCAACATTAAGGAGCTATTTGGATGCAAAATTTAATAGGATTTATGCAAATTTTGAGTCGGATTTATGTCAAATCCTGCCAAACGGGATTTGAGAACCCGCTAAATCTCATGGTGGAATAAATCTTCCATCTCTCCTTATCTACCTTAAATCCCTCACCCTGATATTGTTTCAAATCAAAACTTCATGAGTACCAATCCGACAAGAAAGGAATGTGGTTGAAGGAGCGAAGTCAAACAACAATGAAGGAGCCGAACAACTCGTGCAAAACTCTACCTCACATGAAGCAACGAAGTTGAACAACAACAACAACAAAATAGAGAAGATGAAAAGCAAACCCTAGATGCCTCTAAGCTATTCGGGAAAAATTAATCTAAATTAATTTATATAATTTAAAATATTAATAATTAAGTAAATTAATTAAATAATTACAAGTATAATTATTGCATAAATTTACAATATAATTTAGCTTAATAGAATAAGTAATAATATAATTAGTAATTAAAATTTAATATAATTTTAAATAGAAATTATTAATTACATAATTAACAATGTAAATAATAATTAAATAACTAAGGAGTAGTAGAATACTAAGTGATTAATGAGATAATTAAAAGTATAATTTATAATTAAAATAAAAAAACATTTAAAAAAGTTATTAAATTATTAGAAGGATAATTAGTTAAATAATTAGTTATTTAAAAATATTAACTAATTAATTAAAGAATTATCAATATAATTCAATACAAAATATATCATCATAACATTAATAATAATTAAAATTGAAATTAATAAGTAATTTGTACTAAACTAGTAAATTAAATTCAACATATATCATATTAAATTTTTTAAAAAATTGATCACCTTAAATCATGGATTATGTTGTCAGATAGTTTCACAAGATTTAACAACTACATTGCAAAACATTTTTGGATTTACAGAAATTAGTAAAGCCTACTAAAGTTAAACTCTTCTTGTTGCCAAACAAGCCCTAAGTTTTTGTAAATAGTCATTGATGATTAATTTTCAGAATTAGGAAACCCAATAAGAACTGAGTACTAAATCAAGAGAAAAAATATGCCATAATAATTGAAAAGTATGTTTAAAGACCATTTTTAAAATTTCATGATCTGCTTAATAATTAATGAGTGAAATCCGTAAGTTCCATGGATCAGCAAAGCATTAAAACAATACTACAAGAAAATTAGCAAATTTGTTCTAGATCTGGAACAAGAAAAGTCAAATACATCTTAATCAGCCAATAAAAATCAGTAAAAAATAGACTAATTTAAATATAATAATAGTTTCACAATAACTAACATTATCATCGAAAATCAAACAAGATTCGCATAATCAGCAAAAGTCGGCTTCCAACCCAGAAAATCCCAGGATCGATCAACGAATTGAAGAAGTAATCAGAGTTGCCACAATTTTAGAAAGTTCTCAGAAACGAAATGATTATTAGGCCCTAAAAAGACTGACAACAAAGCCGAGCAAAATTCACCCCACAATGCCCTCAAATGATAATAAAATCAGTAGACATCGCCCACGAGAACAACGGTGAAATACAGAGAAATTACCAGAGGGAATAAATTAGAAAACTAGGGTTACTCTTTGCCCGCCGGATCTAATTTTCAGACTGTTTTCCGATCTAGGCAAATATGACCTATTGCCTAATGAATAAAAGAGAGAGAGAGAGAGAGATATTTCGTACCTCAACCAAAGTGGCCGTTCCTTTTTTATTTTTTATTTGTGTGTGTGTGCGTGTTTCTGGAGGAAAGCAAATTCGATGCCGATGAAGTCGCCTGCCGCGACGTTTATGGCGCCGCCCACAGAAGCAAAGAAAATCCTGATTACAACGCCACCTAACAAAAATCAGCGACACGGTATCGAGCAAGAATTTTCCTCATTCATCTACCTGTGTTGCCACCTATGACGTGGAAACAAAGGGATTTTCTTAAACGTTGCGCTTAATTATTGATTATTCATATACTAGTAGTAATAGACCTAGTGAGGGGATTGTAACTTTGGACCATCAAGTCATTAATAAGAGCACACGTTTTATATATCTTGGATCTATTGTTCAAAGCGATGGTGAAATAGATGTAGATATTATCAGCAGAATTCAAATTGGATGGTTGAAGTGGAGGAATGCATCGGGCTTGTTATTTGATAGAAATGTACCCCTCAAACTAAAGGAAAAATTCTATAAGATGGTAGTGAGGCCTGCAATGCTTTATGCTGCCGAATGTTGGCCATTAAAAGAGAAGTATAATACAAGTTAAGTGTGACAGAGTTGAGGATGCTCAGGTGGATGAGTGGCTTTATCCTTAAAGATAGGATACGAAATGAGCATATACGTGAAAAGGTTGGAGTAGCTCCAGTAGAAGATAAGATTAGAGAGAGTCGCCTTAGAAGGTTTGGTCACATAAAACGGCGGCCTTCAGATGACCCGGTTAGGAGAGTAGAGGCATTAGATTTGACTTATGTTAAGAAAGATTGGGGTACACCTAAAAAGACTTGGTTAGAAAATGTTATGAATGACCTTTCTTTATTAGATTTAAATGAGAATTTGAATTTTAATATGACACAATGGAGAAAAAGGATTCATGTAGCCGACCCAACGTAGTGGGATAAAGGCTTGATGTTGTTGTATCAAAAAAATTATTTTGACCAGGCACGAATCTCGAGGTAAAATCAAGCTGGAAATTTCAAAAATTAAATTCAGGATCACCTGAACTCCGATTTCATCAAACTTACAGTCAAAATGAGCGTCTCGGAAATAAAAATCCAACGACACCAAATTCAACTCAATCTGAGCCCAAATGAGTCCAAATCAAGGACCCGAAGCATTGTTGAAAAGTTCGTAGCACAATTTGAGTAATGAAAAGGTTTCCAAATATGACAAGCTTATAGTCGAATCTAGTGGCTTGATGAGAAGAATCCAACGAGCCCAAGATCGTCGAATTTCGACATCATTAAGACCTTCAAATATTTGATGAACGGTACAGGATTAAGGGATTCAATATCAGCGTCCATCCAACCACTCCCAATTTACCCCTGATCTCTCGCCTATTTACGGGTCATTCCACTAAGAAAAATCTATAAATAGACCGCTCATTTCTCTTGAGAGGAGACCCAAGCAAGAGAAAGAGAAGAGAAAAAGAAGAGAAGGATAGGAGGGAAGAACTCCTCCTCGACCACCGTCGGAGTTCTACTCGACGTCTGAGTAACGGCAGCATTCTTTCTGATGCTCAAGTGATGCTGGAATTCTGTAATATCAAAAATCTGCTCCAGGATCGTCCAGGACGATCTGGGATCGTCCTGGGACGATCAGTTGAGAATCTGCTCCAGAATTTGC